GGAAAGTGTCTTATGTACAGCAATTAAACATTGGTCTGCGCATGCATGCATGCATGCGCACTTGCATGCATGCGTACTTGTATGCATGCAAGTACGCATGCAAATCAAATAAAAGACTTTCTGTATATTTTTTAAAAATAACAAAAATATTTACGCTTTCATATTACGTAGACCTTCCGCGTATTTCCTTCATATGCATCGATGCATATATATATATATATATATATATATATATATATATATATATATATATATATATATATATATATATATATATTTGTATTTATATTTATATTTATACACATTTATATATACACAAATATATATATGTATATATACATTTATATATATATAAATATATATATATATATTTGCGCATGCATACACTTTATATAATTAGAAATATATAAATGTGCATAAATATATTAGAATATATATTCTGCAAAGTAATAGTCTTTATAGCTATTCTATGCACATATATATGTTATATACCCACTGCCCATGTACTTTATATATGTACATATTAAATAAACTAGTAAAATAATAAAATAAAAACTAAAAAATTATAAAGTAAATGCTAAAGAAAATGGTAAAGTAAACTCTAAAATGTAATAAAATAGACATTAAAAGAATAATAAAATGAACACTAAAAAAAGTGCAAACTAGTTTGCAGTGTTTTCCAGCTGTCTAGACACCCCACAGGGGGGCCCCCAGTTTTAGGGGCCCCTGGGGGCCCCTGCTTTTAAGGGGCCCCAGGGGCCCCCTGGGGGCCCCCGGGGGGCCCCCTGTACCCTCTTTTACTTTCCGAAATACAGGGGGCCCCCTAACTTGGGGCTAGCTTGCCTTGGGGGGCCCCCATCCAACAGGGGCCCCCCGCGCAAAGAACAAAAATCTTAGTTGCTGCAGCAGCAGCAGCAGCAGCAGCAGCAGCTGCTGCTGCTGCTGCTGCTGCTGCTGCTGCTGCTGCGCTGCTAGGTGCTCCAGCGCTGTATTGCTGCGTCTGCTGCTGCAACAAATTCAGCAAAAGAGAAACCCCTAAAGGCCCACGCGTCAGAAGGTGGGGTTGTTGTTATGGGGGCCCCCTCTTCTTCTTCGGGATCCTAAAACAAAACCCCAAAACCCGCAAAAGAGGTCATAAAAGTCAACCCTCTAAGGGGCCCCCAGGGGCCTCCAGGGGCCCCCAAGCCCCCAGGGGCCCTTACGGGGCCCCCAGGGGCCCCTAGGGAGCCCTCAGGGGCCCCTCAGGGGCCCCTAAGGGGCCCCCGGGGGCCTTAAAAAGTGTCGAATTGGATATTTTGGATTTAATTTTAATGCAATAAAAAGGGAAAAAGACTTTTTAGGGTTTAGCATTAATGTTGCACAAAAATAAAAAGAAATAAACCGCAAAAAGTGCAAAAAAAAGAAAATGAAATTAAAAAAAAAAGACAAAAAGTCCTTTAAGGCCCACCCTTTGCATGCACTTCTTGTAGGCCTCAATGGCCCTGCTGGGGGGCCCCACACAAACGCAAATAATATATCCAGGGGCCTCTTCTTCTTCAAGTCGAAAATAAAAATCCTGAACAATAAAAACAAAGAACTGGGGCCCCTCACCCGCAGCTGTCTCGGGGGCCCCCAGGGGGCCCCAGAGAACCCAAAAGGGCCCCCAAAGTCCTCCAAAAGGGGCCCCCAAAAGGCCCTTTAGGGGCCCCTGGGGCCCTAACGAGACCCCCTAGGGGGGCCCCCAAAGGGCCCCCTAACAGGGCCCTTTGGGGGCCCATTAGGGGCCCCCCAAGGGCTTCTGGGACCCTTTAGGGGCCCCAAAAGGGGCCCCTAAAGGGTCTAAGGGGGCCCCAAGAGGCCCCCTGGAGGCCCTGCAGAGCCCCAGGGGGGCCCTGGGGGCCCCCAGGGGCCCCCTGGGTCTTTTGGTCATTAAAACATTACAAATTAATTTGAAGCTGCAGCTTTAAACAAGAAATGGCATTTTAGTCTTCTTTAGAAAGCACAGCTAAAGGAGGAAAAAGAAAATCCATTTATTGCCACTTAATAGCCAAAAAACAATTTTAAAAAAAGGGTTTGGGGCCCCCAAAGGGCCCCCTGACCCACCGTTTGGGGGGCCCCATCTAAAGCTATGCTGGGGGGCCCCACAGCGGGGAAGAAGCACTGCAGCCGCTCGGGCTCTATATAAATTCCTGAGAAATGAAAAAAATAAAAACAAAAATATATTAAAAAGGGGCCCCTAGGGGGCCCCTAGGGGGCCCCTAGGGGGCCCCTAGGGGGGCCCCCAGCTGCTTTGTGAGGGCTTGAATTACCTGTGCCCAGAGCCTTGACGAAGGCCTCCTTCACAGTCCAGACCCTGCAGCAGCAGCAGCAGCAGCAGCAGCAGCAGCAGCAGCAGCAGAATGCCACAGTCAAAAGCCCTCCTAAAACAAATAGAAACCTCTCTACGGGGCCCCTCTGCGGGGGTCCCCCTGGGGGCCCCTCTGTGGGGGCCCCCTGGGGGCCCCTCTGTGGGGGCCCCCTGGGGGCCCCTCTGTGGGGGGCCCCCTGGGGGCCCCCTTGGGGGCCCCCTGGGTACTTGTTTCGGACCTCATGAATCTTCTGAGCTGCTGCTCCTTCAAGTGGGCCCCCATGACATAGGCCCAGTCTTTTTGGGTACAGTGGCTTTTCATTTGCTGCAGGAACTCAGCTGTGTCTCTGCAGCAGCAAAAACACGCAGACGCTGCTGCTGCTGCTGCTGCTGCTGCTGCTGCTGCTGCTGCGGTGGCGGCTGCGCTGCCGGGTCAAGTGCTGCTGCAGCTGCTGCGGCGGCGGCAGTCTAACTGCACTACTGCTGCTGCTGCAGCTGCTGCGGCGGCGTTAGTCTAACTGCACTACTGCTGCTGCTGCTGCTGCACTTGCTGCTGCTGCTGCTGCTGCTGCTGCTGCTGCTGCTTGCCTGCCTCTTGCGGAGCACCGCATGCAGTCGACTCCAACGAGGTGTCTTGACGCCCCGAAAACCACCAGGCCCTCGTCGTGCTGCAGCAGCAGCAGCAGCAGCAACAGCAGCAGCTAATAACAGCAGCAGCAGCAGCAGCAACAGCAGCAGCTAACAACAGCAGCAACACCAGCAGAGCACCTGCAAAGCGAACCGCGCCTGATGCAACAGCAACTGCAGCAACAGCAGCAAATGCGGCAGCAACTGCAGCAGCAGCAACTGCAGCAGCAGCAACTGCAGCAGCAAAGGCAGAGGCTCGCAAGAACTGCAGAAGCAGTCTTGAAAGTCTCCACACTGCTGCTGCTGCTGCTGCTGCTGCTGCAGTGGGGCCCCCTGTGGGGCCCCTGTGGGGCCCCACAGGGGGCCCCACAGCAGCAGCAGAACTCACAGATACATTGAAGTGTACGAAGTCAGCTGTTTCTCCCGCCGATGGTCTCTGCAACCACAGCAGCAGCAGCAGCAGCAGCAGCAGCAGCAGCAGCAGCACGTGCAGCAGCAGCAGCAGCAGCGGGCATGCACGAAGCAGGCGGGGGGCCCCACAGCCCCAAAAAACAGCTGCTTAGGGGGCCCTTATGGGGGCCCCCGTGGGGCCCTTCATGGGGCCCCTCTGGGGGCCCCATGGGGCCCTCAAAGGGCCCTCATAAAGCCCTCGCGGGGTTTCATGGGGCCCCTGTGGGGCCCCACAGGGCCCCCTGTGGGGCCCCACAGGGCCCCCTGTGGGGCCCCACAGGGGCCTCTGTGGGGCCCCACAGGGGCCCCTACTAGGGCCCCCAAGAGGCCCCTAGGGGGCCCCCAAGAGGCCCCTAGGGGGGCCCCAAGAGACCCCTAGGGGGCCCCAAAAGGCCCCTAGATTGCCCCGAGGGGGCCCCTAGGGGCCCCCTAGGAAGCCCTTAGGGGGCCCCTAGGGGGCCCCTAGGGGGCCCCCAGGGGGCCCCTAGAGGGCCCCCAGGGGGCCCCTAGGGGGCCCCTAGGGGGCCCCTGTGGGGGCCCTAAGGGGGGTTGTAATGTTACCCAAATGGGTTTGCTTCTCGTGGCTTTTCTTTCAATGAAAATGGACTTGGGACTTTTGCTGCAGTGAGAAGACAGCAGCAGCCGCTGCAGCAGTCTGCTGCTGAGAGCTCGCAGCCTGTCGGGGGCCCTCCTGTACCTGCGCAGCAGCAGCAGCAGCAGCAGCAGCAGCAGCAGCAGCAGCAGCAGCAAGATTGCAGAGGGGCACGCGCAGCTAGTTCGCAGCTGCAGCAGCGGGAAGAAGAAATGCCAGTGGCAGCAAAAGCAAGTGCAGCAGCAGCACAGCTGCAGCAGCCGCAGCAGCAGCACTAATAAGCAGCGCCAAAGACAGCAGCAGCAGCAGCAGCAGCAGCAGCAGCAGCAGCAGCTTACCTTTCGCTGTCCAGTATCTCCTGGGAAGGCAGCAGGGCCCCCACCCTTGTGGCGAGGGCCTGCAGCTGCTCTTCTGCTGCTGCTGCTGCTCCTTGCTGCAGCGGCCCCAGCTCCAGCAGCACAACATCTGCTGCTGCTGCTAAGCAGACAGGGTCTAGCCGCAGCAGCAGGGGGGCCTTCGGCCTTGCTGCCAGGGGGGCCCCCCAGCAAGGGGCCCCCATGGGGGGCCCCCTGGGGGGCCCCCTGGGGGGCCCCCTGGGGGGCCCCATGGGGGGCACCATGCTGCCCCAAGCAGCAGCAGAAAGTGCGGGGCCCGGGGGGGCCCTTGTTGCTGTTTGCATGCTCTTAGGAGGCCTTAGGAGTTGCTGCTGCTGCGGGGGCCCCTCTGCTGCTGCTGCATGCAGCAGCAGCAGCAGCAGCAGGCACCGGCGCTGCGGTGTACAGACACTGCCTTGTCAGCTGCTCTGCCACAGACCAGCTGCTGCTGCTGTTGCTGCTGCTGCTGCTGCTGTCGCTGCTGCTGAAGGCGTCAGTTCTGCTGCGCTTCCGAAGCGCAGCAGCAGCAGAAGGAACAGCAGCACGACGTGTTCGGGCGACCACCAGAACAGCAGCAGCAGCAGCAGCAGCAGCAGCAGCAGCAGGAACAGGCAGGTAACAAGGGGTATGT